TCAAGGTTTATCTGAGAATGTTTGGTTTTTGCTCAAGCTTCATCTACATAGCACATGGTAATTAAAAGTACCAGATTGGTGGAACAAACCTTCTTGGATGTTTAACAGCCATACTTTGAGGCCTATACTAATCTGGTCAGAGGGACATACAGGACAGTTTTTGTTCCTTGCCCTCCAAGGTTGACTAAGTTCCAAGGGATTATGGAGCATTTCTCAAAACGTCCTGTAACTGTGGTGACTCACCTGTCCTCCTGTTCAGGGAGGCCAAGACCCCACCACATGGACAACTCAGAGGAAACATTTCCTCCATGTTTCCAAGTGAAGCCAGCCATGGTTGAGCAGGACCTTTGACTCATCTTCACATAGATGGAACTGGTAAAAGAAAGGAGCCAGGGGCTCCTCTCAAGCCCATGTAACCCCTAAGGAACAGATCCCCCAATGACCTGAAGAGTAAAAATAAATGATTTATTTGGGCCAACTATATAGTCTTAAACACCCAAAAGGAAAGTATAACCGAAGAGTAAAGTCATCAGTATATTTCTTTAAGAGTGCAAGGGATTATACTTCCCAGACATTAGGCTTAAGTCCATATAAAATGTTATTTAGACAATTATTTCTCATTGGTGATTTTGTTTCTAAGCAGAAAGTGCTGCTCAGAGGTTAAGACTTCAAATCTTGGTCTGCAATACTGTAGTGCCCATCTGTCACGAAGGGAGATAACCCACTATTGTTCTAAAATGATGCCTAAATTTGTTTTCTCCCCCTCTCTAGAAGCCTTTGAGAGGGAACTGACACTGATTCTAACCACTCCAATGTTACCAAAGTGGCTGAAAACAAATCCTGTGTCTATCACTCTTGAGTCCAGCCTTGGCAGACAAAAGAAAAATGAAGGGGAACCCAATAGAGGGATGCATTTGGAAACCCTTGTCAAGAAATTCCAATGGACTCTCATATAAACATTTGAAATTTGCCTTGTCCTGACTTTTTTCTAGTTCCCTGTGTAGAACTTGTAATGCTAAATACTCTTGCCTTTACTTCTCCTTCACATCTCCTATTCACCAGTCAAGGACTTTCTTTTCCCCTTACAGATAAGAGTTATGTAATTTGGGAGTCTTTTAGATAGATCCACTGAAGGGACACTCCAATTGCCTCACCCTGTGTCTCTATTCAGCATGGAAGAAGCCAGAGCAGTCTGCGTCCTGATTACCTATTCGCAAGCTGGGTAACCTTTTTAGAGGATGGTGTGATAAGAATAGGACATAGGAATTGGCTACACAGTTAGGGTAAAAAGACTCGAAAGAAAAGTAGCCAGTTTCTTGGGTAAAAGTCAAAATGTCCTTGGGCCTCTTAGCAACCTACTCTGTTCCAAAGGCCAAAAAATGTTGAAAATATTTGGGAGTTTATCTAATCCTTTGAAGAATGTAATGAACTTGGTGTGTGTGTGTGTGTGTGTGTGTGTGTGTGTGTGTGTGAGAGAGAGAGAGAGAGAGAGAGAGAGAGAGAGAGAGAGAGAGAGAGAGAGAGAGAGAGAGAGAGAGAGAGAGAGAGAGAAAGAAAGGGGAGGGAGGGAGGGAGAGAGAAAGAAAGAAAGAAAGAAAGAAAGAAAGAAAGAAAGAAAGAAAGAAAGAAAGAAAGAAAGAAAGAAAGAAAGAAAGAAAGAAAAGCAAGAAAAAGAAAGAAAACACGAAGTTGTCAGAAAAAAATGACGGGGCGATATGGAAGGTGTTGGAGGGAGGGAATGGGCATGGATTTGATTAAAACACCTTACATGCATGTATGAAATTCTCAATGAAGTTTTTTTTAAAGAAAAGAACCCTTAGGCTAGGATAGAAGAGATGCTGCCTCACAGTCTCAATTTCTAAGTGTAAATCATATCCATTCATCCTCAGTGTTTCCCCGGATAACAATGCTACCTCTTTGTCCCATAAACATTTCCACATTTGAAGATCATTTGACTAAAGTCAAACATAGACTCTCTCTCTCTCTCTCTCTCTCTCTCTCTCTCTCTCTCACACACACACACACACACACACACACACACACACACACCAAGTTCATTACATTCTTCAAGCCTGTGTCTTACTTGTTGAAGAGTCCACTCTGAAACTTGTTATTCAGGTCTGACTCTATGAGCTTATTCCGTGTCTCCTTTTCACTTCGAAGCTGGAAATTGAGATATTAGAGAGAAAAGGGAAGAAGTTGACCATTCATGAAAAATCAGCATTATTGAGAAACACCACAATGGTACTATCATTCTGAACAACAACATCACGAACATCGATGAATCTCAGAAAAAGACAAACCCATTACTGAGTCTCTGTAGAAGAACATAATAGAAGAAAATCTTCATCCAAGGTAGAAGAGCAAAACCATGGTGTTGGAACTTCAAGAAAACTGCCCCCTTCAAAAACCCACACCAATCCTTACAATAGTAATAATAATAATAATAATAATGTCTAGCTTCTGAAAGATAAAAAGCCAAAAGGAAACCGGAAAGAATTCTTTATGATCCACATACTGAAATAAATTGGCACTAATTCTAAAAAAAAAATCACAGATAACAAATAGAAAATAAGTCCTTAGGGAAAAATGGTCTGGTATTTAAATGTATGCTCTAGATAAACTATATTTATATCCTTGGAGCCTAAAGCAATACACGTGACAAAGATAAACACTGTTCCTATTAGTATAGTAAGGTTACGTGCTGAAGCTGGGCCTAGTGTGCAGGCCTATAATCCCGGTTACTAGAGAGGCTGAAACAGGAGGACTGCAAACTCAGACCAGTCTGGGCTAAGGAATCAATTGAAGGAAAGAAAAAAAAAAAAAATCATGTATGTCTAAAATCCAATTAGGTCAGTTAAGGATTTGTGTGTATGCGTGTATATCTGTAATTTTTAAGTGAGTCTAAAAATTATTTCAGAAAAAACGTTTTTTTGTTTGTTTTTAAAGCATAAAAACTTAACTGCACAAAACAGAGCTGGAGAATGTGGAGGGCGATTGCTGCTAAACAATCACACTAACACTGCACTTGGAATGTCCTAGCTGTAGGGATCCTAACTGCTCAAGGAAGAAAACAAAATGCCACAAGCTGTTTGTCTCAGCTTTGTGTGTAATTTCTCACTGAGCCTTAAAGAAACAAGAATTTGTTTCACCAGTCCAGACATGATGCTGAACACACCTGAGGTTAGCTACACTGATCTGTCACATCACTGAGTTATACATCTTCTGATCCTAAAACAACTCTATTTCCCTTAATTAAGTCCTAAACTTAAGTTCACCTGCTCTGTACTACAAGCTATTGAAAAAAAATAACAAAGGAAAGTCAGTGATTTTTTTTTTTTCTGTTCTACTTTAGTTTTATTCTCCTTGTTCAAATTATTACTCTCCTTCATTGGCAGAAAATCTGAGTTGTTCACTCGTCACCAGAGTACTGCAGGGTGGTTTTCCATTCTGCAGTTTGTACATAAGCAGCACATTTATGGAGCTCTTCTGCAGAGCACTAAGCAGAAAGGCACATGAAATCAATAAAGGTTTTAATATAAGGAGGAAAGAAGATTGAATTCTGGATGTTGTACCAATCTGGAATAAATATGTGAATCACAGTAACTAAGTACTGTCCTAGTAACAACTGGACTATTTCATGGTTAAGAAATAAATATACTGGGGCTAGAGAGATGGCTCAGCCATTAAGAACACTGGTTGTTCTTGCAGAAGACCCAGGTTCGAATCAGAACACCCACATGGCAGCTAACGACTGTCCATAACTCCAGTCCCAGGGGGTCTGACAGCCTCTTCTGACCTCCATGGGCATTGCACGACATGGGTGCACTTACCTACATGCAGCAATACACACATACACATAAAATAAAAATGATAAATACAATTTTAAAAAAGAAATAAATATACTTCTCTCTGTAATTAATGCATTTTAAATTATTTTAGCTTTATGTGTACCAGTGTACTGCCTGCCTGCATGTAAGTACATTCATGTGGCGCAAAGAGTGTGGAGGTCAGAAGATGGTGTCCCATCCCCTGGAACTGGAGTTACAGATAGTTACTAGCCACCATGTGGATGCTGGGAACCAAACCCAGGTCCCCTGCAAGAGCAGCTAGTGTTCTTAATCCCTGAGCTATCTCTCGAGCCCCAATTAATGCATTTTAAATAAAAACATCTTTCAGTCAGTCAGTCAGTAAGAAGAAGAAAAAGTTACAAGGTATATCCCCTACTGTGGTACTCCCTATCAGAAAAGAGACACCAATTTGCACGTGCTCATTTTCTATAACTCAAGGGTAAGGATTGTGATTTTGTTATTTCTAACTTTTAGCTGCTTGAAGGCTATTTTACGATAAGTAAACCTTAACACAAGGTTTCTTCGAGCAGACTGTTGATAGTTCCTGAGGGGAACAAACAGCATCCTTGGAATGCAGACATATCCTGTTCAGCTCTCAATAGACATAACTAAAGAAATGTGACTGAGAGACCAGAGTAGACTTAAACTATTAGAAAAGCTTTGAAAACATCAGCCAGACTTACCACATCCTGCTTCTTCTGGAGCATCTCCAAGTGCTCCACAAGACCTTCATCAGCCACATCAAAAGGCGTCTGGCCCTGTCAGAGCAAAGGTGTACCATGACTGACAGAAAACAGATGCCTGCTCATGTGACCTTATCAGAGGTTATTCAGCATTCACTTACTACCTTTGATTCCTATGATAAAGGCTGAATCCCCCTTATCAAAAATACAACCAGAAGTGCTTTGGATTTGAGAAGATGGGCATATATACAATGAGGTATCTTGAGACTAGATCCAAGTATAAACACAAAATTCATTTATGTTTCACATATACACATAACCTAAAGATGGCTTCGTGTAATATTTTAAATACTTTTGTGCTTTCATGGTGTGGGATTTTCTACTTGGGACATCATGTCTCAGAAAGACTCAGATTATGGAACATTTCAAATTTCAGACTTGGATTCAAGATCCTCAACCTATAGCTGCCTCCTTAATTCACCTACTCTACATGTGAAGCCTTCATCTATCACAGAGGAAACATCTTTAAGACAACAAATCCTTTAAATAGAAAGCTTTGTATTGTGTAAAATAGTAATGGGAAATCACTGCACCATATCTAATGCTTACAGTCCCTTGACAAATAATCAAGGGGAATCCCTATTTGTAACTGGTGTAAAGTAATCTTAATTGTGTTGATAAATTCAACATATGGTCTACAAGCCTCAGAGGGAAGTTTGGGGCACACCTATATTGAAGACTAATAGAAATAACTTTCCTTTAAGTAAGAAGAGGATAGATAGGCAGGTTATATTTTTAAGGAAATAGCACAATTAAGTATCCTCAACCAGTCTACGAATGAAACCTGGATTCAGGAGTTAAATGAAGGAGACAAGACCATATGTCTATACTCTAGAAAAATCAGAGAAAGGGATGAGTGTCCCAGGGCTTCTAAATGCTGAAGGTGACTGAACAACACTGTTTGCATTCAAACCCAAGGGTTTTTGTCAGGTACTCTTAAATGATTACAGGTACTCTTAAATGATTCCATGTGAATAGAGCTCAGCTATTGAAAGACTGAGTTAAAAAAAAAAATCTGTAAAATATTTCATACTTTACCAGAGACAGTGACTTTAGGTTTCTTGAAGTTCATTTTTTGCCAAAGGCAAATATCTTTTTTATTTCTTTCTTGTTTTAGGGACTTCAGCATGAGTAGAATCAGATGACTAGGTTAGTGGAGTTTTATTTTACACAGCAAATATACTTCTAAATAATAATAAAGGTGGGGGGCAGGGAGGTAGAGGACAACACCATAGCTACCAGTGACATATATTTCCCCAGAGCAGTCACCAGGCTATTGAACGGAGGCTTTATGCCTATTCTAGGCACCCAGCCACCGATCTCATTGCCCTTTTAGAGGTCCAGGCTCACTAACCAGTTTATTCCGCATATCCATGTCACAAAGTGCTTCTGCCAGGATGGAGCAAGCCTCTTTCACTCCCCAGTGTGCAGCAGCATGAAGAGGAGTCCAGCCGTCATGATCTTGAACATTGAGTTCATAACCAGCCTGAATTAAAAGTCTATGATAAAACCAAAAAAACCTATTCATGTCCCTGATTTGACAGTTTTGCTAAACAAGTTATGTGCCCATTTGACGACTTCTTCTGACCTCCTTGGGCATTGCACAACACAGGTACACTTACACATGTGATCATAACACACTCATACACATAGGATTAAAATGATAAGTAAAATATTTTTAAATATTTATTATTTTTATTTATTTTTTATGTGTATGAGTATATTGCCTGCATGTATATGAGTACACCCGTGTCGTGCAATGCCGTGGAGGTCAGAAGAAGGCTTTGGATTCCCTTGGAACTGGAGTTAAGGGTGGTACATAGCCCCCACATGGGTGCTAGGAATCAAACCCAGGTCCTCTGCAAGAGCAGTCAATGCTCTTAACCGCTGAGCCATCTCTCCAGCACCGATAAATAAAATATTTTTTAAAAAAGAAAAATAAAACAGGTTAAATAGTAGAGTTTAACTTTTTGTCGTTTTAAAAACTTTATTACATTTTTAAATTTTTTTGTGTGTGCAGCTATGTATGCACACACACAAGTGTGTCTGTTTTCAGTGTGTGTATATGTGTCACTGTATACAAGTGGTGGTCAGAGGATAACTTGCAGGAATCAATTCTCTCCTTCCACTGTGTGGGACCCAGGGATTGAACTCAGGTTGTCAGGCTTGGCAGCCGAAATTTTTACCACCCGAGCCATCTTGCTGGCTCCAAGTCTAACTCTCTTAAGTAAGCTGGATACTGTACACTCGAGATCTGTGCTATTGGTCTAAGGGCTGCAGGGAGACCCTAAAAAAAAAAAAAAAAAAAAAAAAAAAAGTCTGATCACAGGTCTGTACTGTCATGAGAAGGTTTCAGGAAAACTAATGATAAATCATAGAGCAGTCTGCCTACGCCAGTGCACTTCAACTCTGTTTCATGTCATACATCCCAGCAAGTAGGGTGACAGGAGGAAGGGAAGGGAAAGCACCCATGGAGGAACACCAGCAAACATGGATAGAGAGGAAAACAACAAAAAGGGAAACATACCACAGTTAAAAATCTAAGAGCCTCTGCTAATGAAATTCATCTCAGCTTTTCCCAGTTATACAAAACTCCTGTTTGATGTGCGTGGACAATACCTGAGGACTTCAGAGTAGCCCTTGGCAGCAGCTACATGGAGGGCTGTGGCCCCTGAGCGTGGTTGCCTTGCATCTTCTATTTTCCCACTGTTGAGCCACTGGCGGGCGTCCTGCAACATCTGTTGTTCTTCTTCCTTTCTTGATTGCTCTAGATCAACTCCTACAGAACCCGATACCAGAGAGTCAGCATCACTAAAGTTCCACTGAAGTCTAACAAGATGCTTTCTTTAGATTCAAAACACGTATTTCCTTAAATAACAGTTTAGCCATCAAGTTGAAATTTCATCAAATTTAGAAGAATACTGGAATTTGTATACAAAATTAATGGTTCTACAAAGGCTAAATCAACAGGCTAAATATTATATAATGCAGATCTATTAAGAGAACATAGCTAACATCATTTTCAACAGAACACAAAAAACAGAGGGGCCGAGTATGGCGGTGCATTCCTTTAATCCTAACACCTGAGAGGCAGAAAGGCAGGTGGATCTCTGTGAATTCACAGCCAGCCTGGTCTACATAGTGAATTCTAGGCCATCCAGGGTTACACAGTAAGACCCTGTCTCAAAAAAATAAAAAAATAAAATAAAAGTCAGAGGGGACATTATTTTTATTTTAAAGTATTTGTAAGAAACTATAAAATTCAAAATCCTTTTGCATGCTGTATGATCTTAGTTTCTCAATAATCCTGTGTGGTAAATATAACAGATAATTCTATTCCCATTAACCATGTGAGAAAATAAACAGGCTAGGTGCTTTGTATACCAGAAACATGGTTAGTAGCAGAGGTGCCATTAGAACTCCCTGATGTTCTTGGCTTTTCTTTTCTTTTCTACTCATTATTCTATAAAATTGTTATGAAAAGACTTTGTTTCAGGTATGATATACTTTTAAAAATAAATTGCTGTTAAAGCTCATTTCCATATGTACGTAAATATACTTACCTGAAGTTACATGCTGTAGTCCAGAGATTAGTAAGTGATCTGAAGTTAAAAATACAGCCCACTTTCAATGTAGACTTTGTTTCCCTTACAGTCATATGGAGGAACTCCAAGAGTTCTTCGCTTTAGCCACCAACTGTCCAATATCTATACCAGTAAAGAGGGGCTTTGGGGTATGACATTCCTTATTACACAAAATGGTGCAATGTTCCAAATACAAATTCACCCATTCAAAAGGTTTTATACTCATAAGAAGACTTTATCTGTGCTTAGTCTTCTTCTTTTTGACTCTCAAATAAGAAGCCATGAATTCCCAAAGAATTATTTGTCTGATCTGGGGGCATGGATAGGGTAAAGAGGAAGCCTATTTAGATAGACTAAGAATGAACAGTGCTGTGAAGTTAAGCATACATTTGAATGCCTGTTTCAACAAAGCATACTCCTTAATGCAAGAGTTAGCAATCAGAAAAAGTAGATTCTCAAATTTTAAAAAAAGCAGATTCTCAAATTTTAAAAAAAGTAGATTCTCAAATTAAAACTACTTTTAAAATGTAAATTGTAAACATATTTTAGGAGATGAAACTTTGTGGGATGGGAGAGTAAACTAAGCACAAAAGTTGTTAATTCAAGAAGGCATGAAGACCACATATGGACCACAGTAACATGACCTAAAACATCCATCACTTTAAGGTCAGCTTAGGATACCTTCTATAAAGGGCCAAATACTCATTTTTTTCAGATCTGCCAGCCCTCTGGTCTGTCAGAACCATTCAACTGTGATGTTACAGCACAAAAGTAGCTTTGGATAAAATGTAAATAAATAGTGTGACCGAAGGGCCCTAAGTGTTCAAAAGGACTGTAGCAGGAAAGGCCTCTGGCGCTTTGGAGGAACTATGGGTTGTGTGTAAAGTTGTTTAACAGAGCCTCCCCTCTCCCCAATCACTGTATTATCATGGTCAGAGTTTCTTGATAGTTTTAGCAGAATTCCTAAGACCTATCCTCCCTGGTTTCTGCCTATAGTTATTCATTACTTTTTAATCGAAAGAAACAGAAGCTAGGTGTGATAGTACATGCCTATAATACAGTAGAGAAGAGGAGGTTTGAGGCGTTTGAGTCTTAATGTCCAACGATAGCCCATGCAAGACACTACATAAAAACAAACAAACTTGAGGTGCTTAATAGGAGAACCCACCCTATTCCCTGAAATTAGTTTCTTCTAGAACTACAAAACAGGAACATACATTTTTAAAGTATATTCTTCTAATCTAAGTTTTTTTTATCTTAAGAAACTACTAGAATCAGGCACGATGATTCAACACCCGTAATTCCAGCACTATGGAGGCTGAAACAGAAGGACTGCTGCACATCTGAGGCCAGTCTGAGCTACAGAGTGAATTCCAGGCACCTTAGACTATAAAGTAAGACTCTGTCTCTCAAAAACATAAATGCTGGGCATGGTAGTCAACATTTGGGAAGCAGAGGCAGGCAGATCTCTGTGAGTCAGAGGTCAGCCTGGAATAACATAATGAGTTCCAGGCCAGCTGGGGCTACATAGTGAGATCCTGTCTCAAAACAAATAAACAGAAAAACCTACAAACAAAAAATCTACAAACAACAAAAATAAAATGACCAGAATAATTTTATGGTTAGTATGGCTAAAGATTCTTTCAGAAGTTTTAATAAATAGTTTCTCCAGAACCACTTTTAGCTTTCCAAAGAAAAAATGCAAAGTCTCAAATTGAATTTGGTCACACTGTATCTATGCTTTCTTTAGACTCCACAATGTGTACAGGTAGAATATAATGTATACACACAATAAGAACTGTCCACATTATTCTTCTGGTCACTCCTAACTACAGAACGGGTATACAGCCTCAGAATAGCAAAGATAAGGAATGCCTGGTCATCCTTTTGGCCTTTGGCTGATTCTTGTGTGAGTTATTAGGAGGATACATGGCACTGGTAATTGATGACTAATGCAGTGCAGACAGATTTAATACAGTCCTGTCACATGAGAATCAAGAGCTCTACACAGCAAATGGATTATGTTCTGTAAGAGGCAGTGTGAGAGTCTCTCCTAGCCCGCCCAGTCTCCTAGTTTACCTTGCTTCTTTACTTGTTCCAGAAGAAGATCTTTCATGGCTGGCTCTTCTGCAAGGTCAGAAGGGACTTCACCTTCACTATTCACAATACCCACACTGGCTCCGTGGTTAATGAAAAACCTGTGTGAGAAGATCAATGTTATCTCTGCGAATCTGACATGAATACGTACTTCGGCATTTGGAGTTCAAGGCACAGCAAAGCACATTTGGGGCTTTTAAATATGATGCAGATGAGGTGTTTCATCATTCATTTATTATTTTTTTAATTAAAAAAATTTAATTTTATATGTATGAGTGTTATGTCTAAATGTATGTAAGTATGCTCATGTCATACAATGCCCTCAGAGGTCAGAAGAGGGCATCAGATCCCCTGGAACTGGAGTTATGAATGGTTATTAGTTACTATGTGGGTGCTGGGATTCGAACCTGGGTCCTCTGCAAGAGCAACCAGTGCTCATAACCATCGAGCCATCTCTCCAGTCCCTCATCATTTATTTATTATTAATTTGCAACTCTATTAGCCTTCACTAATTAGGACCAAAGGTTTCTCTATTTCCTGACAAAAGCAATGCCAACAATACAATTTTTTTCATGTTCATATTCCTAACCCTAACCCTTTTACTTCCAGGGATATTAAGTCTTTCTAAATATGATAAACACCATAGGGAGCTGGGGGTGTAGCCCATGTGCATAATCCTAGCATATGGTTGAATCAAGAGATCTCAAGTTTGAGGTCAGCCTGTCCTATATGGTGAGTTCAAGGCTAATCTAGACTGTATAATGAGAATGAACACCTCCAAGGCTATGTAAATTCTCATGAAAATGTTTACAGTGCCAAGTTGGAATTTACTAAATAGTGCTCTGGGTGAGAAAAATGAAGAATAAAATATGTATTAAAATTTGCATGAACTGTGCTTCCACAAACAAGCCATCTACATGAAATGTGCATTCTTAAATGAAACTAAATTACTGAAAAAGGAACATTAAAATGCTGAGCAGGGGCTGAAGAGACAGCTCAGTGGTTAAAAGCACTTACTGCTCTTGCAGAGGACCTGGGTTCAGTTTCCAACACTCACATGGTAGGCCTGATCTGCACAGCAAGTCCCAGGGCAGTTGGGACTACAGGGAGACCCTGTCTCAAAATGAATGAATGAATGAATGAATGAATGAATGAATGAATAAAAATTTAACTGGGCATGGAGGTGTACACCTTTAATCGCAACACTCAGGAGGGAGAGGCAGGTGGATCTCTGTGAGATCAAAGGCCATCCAGGTCTACATAGTGAGTTCCAAGTCAGGGTTATAGGGAAACCCAGTCTCAAAAAAAAAAAAAAAATCAAAAACCTAAAATGCTGAGTAGATTCTAAATCCACATGAATCCCAAAGAAGAAAGAGCTGAAAAGCTGATAACTTCAATACCTTACATGGATACTTTTATTCAAAGTACTCTCCTCTCTCTTTCTCTCTCTCTCCTCTCTCTCTCACACACACACACACACACACACACACATCAGTCTTAATGCAAGGTTATAATGACAAGGCTGGAGAGATGGCTCAGCAGTTAAAAGCACTGGATGCTCTTGCAAAGGACCTGGGTTTGATTCCCAGTATCCACATGGTGGCTAACAGCCACTGGAACTCCAGTTCCAGGGGATATGATGCCCTCTTCTGGCATACACTTCCACAGGCAATGCACAACAAAGGTGTGCTTACATACATGAAGGCAATATATTCATACACTTTTTTTAAAAAAAAGATTATAATGAAGGCAATGTAGATACTATTATCCTTTTAAGAAACTGAGGTTCAGGGCCAGAGTGATGGCTGAGTAGGTAAGGACTCTTGCTGTCAAGCCCAGAGACCTGAGTCTGCTTCCCAGGACTCATGTGGTGGAAGGAGAGAATGGACTCCTACAAGTTGTTCTCTCAGCTCCACAAATACACATCACAGCACAAATACACATAAAATAAATGCACTACATACACACAAAATAAACATAGAGGAATTTTAAGGAAAAATTTAGGGGTGTCCAGGTGCCAGCAGCTTTCCTGGTCCCCAGGAGCCCGCTGTACCTGGTCCCGGCCTCACCCCCCTTTTGCTTCCTGGGCTGCCCAGCCTCCAGCATCCTGGTGCCAGCACCTTCCCTGGGTAAGTCCAGCGTGATCACTGTGCCTTGACTCCCCCAGCCTTTTTCACCCTCCCAGCTCCCCTGACTCGTCTCTCCTCCCATCTTGGGTACAGGCCCATCTCTTGTCTTGGCACACCAGACACTGGGGCTAACCTCTCAGACCAGAGTCACCACTGCTTCCTGATCCTCTGCATGGAACAACCCAATTCTTCCCTGACTACCCCAGGAACCCTCTCAGCCTGGTCCTGCCCTCACTTCCCTTTACTTCCCTGGGTGGCACAATCACATGCTTCCTGAGACCAGCATCTTTCCTGGAGGGACCCAGACCTTAGAAGAAAGCCGGAGAGCATCTGATCCTTATCTGACTTGGGCCTCTGTGGGAACTCCTGAAGACAAAAGCAATCTGGCCACTCCAATATAAAATCAAAAGAGAGAACCT